ACAACGGTAGAGAATGACATTGAGGTCCGTTAAGTCAAGACCGGAGAATGCAGCTTCCACCCCTTCTTTGCAGAATGAGTCCATGTCGGGACCGATTCCTTCTAATTGAGTGGTGAATAGCATGACACTTCCAGGAGGGAATGTGGATGGCACTGGGATCTCTTGATAAGGTCCGTCATTATCTGACCCATCCACAGCTTGGACCGCAGGAAGCAGCGAGAGCTGAGAGCTGAGGCCCTTGATGAGCTTTTCATCTTTAGCAGACTCGTATGATGGGATATCTATGCAAGCTCCAAAGATGAACTTTGCTTTCGTACGCCTGAGTTGTATTGGCTTTACTATTAAAGAGATTAGGAAGTGCATAAGAGTGATACCACTGCACTTACTGTATCCAGAATCTTTCTTTCCTTTTTGGAATGCTGTGTGAGCTACGAGTAGGTATCCCCTCTGGGTCTTAGGTTCGACCCGATGAATGACAATGTACTAGAATGGAACACAGGTCAGTAGACAATTTAAATGCTAATCAGAACAGACTTACATCGTTCTCCTGATGCACATGGGCTTCGTCGAATCCATCGAGTGCCATTTCAGTGTGAAGATTGTTCAGCACACGCTTGACCGCACCGATACCACCATTTTCCAGAATCTCGTATAATCGGTTCTCTCCCACCAGGTCTAGGAGTTTCGGGTGTAGGTCATCAAAGCCTTTAACCGACCCGACAGCGCAGTGAGAGAACGACACGAGGGCACCGGTGGAGAGAGCGTCCTCTGCTGAACGTTTGTGCAGCGGCGACTCATTATCGTGAGTCAAGTCATAGAACAAGGCGTGTGGGCTAGAGCCTTGGAGAGGGGTGACGAGACCAGGTAGAGTTGGGCCTCTTCCAGTAGGTGGCGGAATATCCGCCGGACTCGTCATACAAGCTCCATCCATCGAACCTATATCCATCAGACCGATATATATAAATGAGAGTAAAACGTACCTATTGGCTTTCTCACACTCAAGCACGGTCTTATCCCCAATCTACTTGATTCTGTCAGGAGTCCTCGGTATGATTTTATTTGATGGACTTACCATTAACCTGACCCGAAATATTAGATACAACTCTCGAGACTCTCCTTGGTGGATGCTCCAGAATATCCAGGATTACACTCTTATGGCACCTGATGGGCTGTCTATACTTTCAGAGCCGGTCAAGCGACGCTTCCCCAAAGACGACACTTGGATTCCATGGGACGATCCAATTGCCTACTCATACTCCAGCACCGTTGCAGAAATTATACAAGAAATCCTTCAAAGGCATGCCTCGGGAATTTGCTTCAGAGAACACAATGCAGGACCAAATCTTGACATGCAAATGAGCGATGAAGGCTTCCAGATTGATATCAAAGTGGATTGGAATACTGGTCTTATTCATGGCGGAAACGCCCACAATTGCGGCACTTGGATGGATAAGATGGGCGAATCAGTGAGTTTCGTGGGTTTGCGTCCCCATGAATCTGAACGATGTTGTTACAGGTGAAAGCAGGAACTAAGGGGCGACCCGGGACTCCTCGTGATGGTGCTCCTGTTGAAATTACTGGATTACTAAAAAGTACTCTCCGTTGGCTCGCCAAGCTTTCGTATGAGAATCAATTCCCATTCACAGGTGTTACTGCCCAAAGTGAGTGAAATAACGCACTCCAAAAGGACTGGGCTGACATGATGGAAAGTTGATGGCAAAGAGCAGTTGATTACATACCAAGAATGGGGCAATCTTTTGCAGGCATCTTTTGAACAAAACTACTACGTTCCGCTTGGTACTCCTCGTCTTTTTCTGGTCTTATCTCCTTCGTCTTACCTTCCCTCACAGACCCGGCGGAAGATGCTGCATACAATGTCAACCCAGCCATTGTCAATCGGCGAGGCATCTATAAGGATGTATACGGCTCGGGACAAGGACGCGAGTGGTCTGACTATCAACTTCGGTCCAATTTCCCGATCGCAATGGCTGTTGCACCAGAGCTATTCGATCCGGGCCATGCTCTCACCGCCTTAGAGGTAGCAGATAAGCACTTGAGGGCACCGTTGGGCATGAAGACATTGGATCCAGCTGACCAACAATATCGTGGAAATTATGACAATTCCAATGATTCTGACGATCCCCATGTCGCCAAAGGGTTGAATTACCACCAGGTAGGATGGTGTTGTCAAGCCTTATAGCATCTGTTGACTTGATTGTACAGGGCCCCGAATGGGGATGGCCTCTTGGTTATTTCTTGCGAGCATATCTCCACTTCTCTCGGGTTGGTCCTGTGAGTGATTCCTTACAATGTCTCAATGCTCGATATTCATAAAAAAAAGACTTCGGATGATGTTTTGCATCATCTCTTCCAGGTTTTACTCCCGTCTAGGCATCATATTCGGGCGGATCCTTGGGCCGGACTGCCAGAGCTCACAAACGAGAATGGTGCTTATTGCCACGATTCATGCCGCACCCAGGCATGGAGTAACAGCACATTGCTGGACTTCCTTCACGATGTGCATCATCTTAGTACCTCCGCGTAAACTATTAGTCATCAGTATTACATAGAATGGCCCTTTACATCAGCTACTACTTTGTCGTGTCCATCATAACCATAGAATATAGAGGTTTGATTTCCGACCATAGTGTCTACCGTTGATTACCCAAGTAATGTTCGATATCGCATGTCCATTCCGAAAGCTGTGAAACGGGCCCTTCTCTGTGCTTGCACAACTGTGTCCGCATCCTTTCCGCTTGAAGCACCAAAATATCCGATGCAGAGAACTCTCCGTATAAATCAAATACGGGAAGGTTGTCTAGATCTGGAAGTTGCTGCTCAGGCAGTTCTAGTAATAAGGAAGATGAGCTTGGTAGTTGCATAAGTGGGACAACGAAAAGGGCTTTTCGCTTTGCTTTTGCCGATGCATCTGGGACATGAGAGCCGATTTCGAGGTGGTTGGTGGAGAAAGATGTAAAGTTGCCGTAGTTTGGGTATACCATGACGTATCCTCGAAGCCAAACCAGTTCGATGAAGAACCTTTTCCAGCTGTTTTTCCATCTATTAGATCGGACTTTCGCTACTATTTCTTCGGTGAGTGGGAGAGTACGTTCGGCCAGACGAGTGATAAGGAAGTCATGAAATTCACGCCAATGTTCGGGGAAATAGACCGCA